GATTGTTTGATTACTTTATTCTGAAGGCCGACAGTTGGGGATGTACATTTTTCAATTTTGAATTTTGTTCATGAAAGAGACTTAACAATTTCAAAGGCAAACATAAAAACACGAAATATGATCCAGTGATGTTAAGAAAGCTTTTTGTAGTTTCTAGAGCGACATTCTCAATCATAGAATTCTTATATATTATTGGTTTGTTTGTTGTGATTGCGACTTCATGGAGTAGACTTAAATCTGCAGATTTGCCCTCTAAAGAGTTGGGAGCCCCCCAAATTTGATGGCAACATTTGCATTCTATAATATTGTATGATGGTATTTGTTCTACTTTCATTCGAGTTAAATATATTTGTATTTATTGTGTACTTTGTAAATCGCTTAGAGATGTCTAATATTAAGAGCTATATAAATTCTTCATTCTTATAATTACCATTTTGGGAAGAAACAGTACTTCAATGTCGAAAAATGAAATGTGTTTTTGAATCACTTCTTGAGGGAGACTACGTTATCGGAATTGATTAATTATAGGGCCTACTTGATGCCCTCAATTATTCTTTCATTCAAATTGGTTTACTTTTTCTTTCTTCTGATGTTGATGCTTCGATAGTAACAGTGAATATAACTTAATCTACATACAATCCTTTTTAGTTACAAAATTATTTGCATTGTACTTGGATGTTTTGTGGGATTGGCATAACTTTACTCTTTTGACTTAAACGAATTTTTAAAATGACGTTGATATATTATATATTCAAACAGTTTATTCTTTTTAATCTTTTATTTTTACTTTTTAAATCATATTTCAACTTGAGGTGCACTTGGCAGAGGCTCGCTTTTCTTTTTTCCGGTTTTGATGAAAACATTCCTCAAGACTCTACGATTCTCCTCTCTTTCTGTTTTTCTTGTTCTACTCTGTCCTTCTCTACCCCTCTCCTCCAATCTTTCGTATATTCTCTGATCAACTTTTCCTTCTATTCCTCTTTCTAGTCCCGTCTCTCTCTCTCTCTCTCTCTCTCTCCTTTTTTGATGACACAGAAGGTTTTTAATGTTTTAAATATTTGTAATATATTTTAATTTTGATGTAATATTTGTAATATATTTAGATTTTGATAAAATATTCGTAATATATTTAGATTTTTATGTAATGTTTGTAATATATTTAGATTTTGATGTAATATTTGATTTTAATTTTGTTTCATTATGCATGATTTATAGTCGTACTTTTTAGTCATTCATATTTTGATCATTTATTGTGTTGTATATTGACTTTGTAAATTGAATAATTTCAGCTTCCCAGCTGCATGTTCTTTTATTGCAATAAACCGAATCTATCTATCTATCTATTTCAAATAAAACTTTCATCGCGGCGTTTAGCCGAATTACAAAAGTTTACAAACAAAATTAATAACACATAATGTAATATATAACATAACATAAATGATGTATTGAATCTAAAAAAATAAATCAGTATAAATACGAGAAATATAGCTTATTGCAACACATGGAAACACAAATTAGAAAGAAATCAGAATTAGCATAAAGTAACATAGTTCTACTGAAACAATGTGAAAGAAGAAGGACTGAAGTAAGCAATAAACGGTGAACGGAGCAAGTGCATGTGTTGGAAAATATCGAGAGTAGAACTGAAGAGTGAGGAGAAAAGTTTGCAAATACAATGTAAATTATTTAAATTAAGAGGGGGAGAGACTTAAAGAGGAAGAGTAAAGCCTGAGAAGAAGAAAGGGAATTAAAAGAGCAAAAGAACAAACAAAGTGAAAACAAAATATACAACCATGCCTAAAGTGGACAAGAGATAGGGTGAAGAGTGGTGATAAACTATTGTCATGACAGATTCAGTTAATTTCAGTTAAATTCAATTCAATATGGTAAAAATATGGTAAGATGGTGTATAAATATACTTAAAAAGTCATTAAACAAATACAATACAAGATTGGTGGGAGTGTATACATAGGCAAAGGCAAGGCAATAAAATCAAAGAGTGAAGGAAGAAGAAGAAGGAGAAGGGAAAGAAGAAGAAAAAGAAGAAGGAGAAGAAGAAAATAAGTCTAGAAATAAAGAAAAGAAGAAATAAAAAGAGAAAAAGGAAAGAAAAAGAAGAAGAAGTAGAGGAAGAAGAAGAAAAAGAAGGGTGTCAAAGAACTTTAACATAGCAAAACAAACAAAAAGCTGATAAAATTGCCAAGCCTGAAAGGTACAAAAAAAGGAGGATCGTTAATTGTTTACTTTGGTTAAGTGCAAGGATGAGGTACGGAATTGCAGTATTTGGCATTCGTTTAGTTTTACATCTCAGTTCAGGGATTTGTGGTTTACGTCTTAGTGTTCTTGAATTATTTTCTGGAGGGAAATACTGTTTGAATTGATCAGTGTAGAGTAGGGTCTTTTGGAAAAACGACAAGCGTAAATAGTTTAAATGTATTTAAGTCTGGACTGAGTGATTTCGACATCATTCACCGAATAGTTTTAATGAGACTTATTACTTTCAGTCTTCCTTTCTTACACTGTACACATTCAAAGTGGAGTGGGATATCTGAAAGTGGAATTGATCTCGGGGAGAACGAATTACTTCATAGAATATGGGACAGAGAGTTGTGGCACTGGTCGCCAACGTCTCAGGATACGGCACGTAGAGAGAGACACACACATTTAAAAAGAGATCTGTGTGTATTTACCTTACTTTTTTATCATCATTTCCAATACTGATGTTGCAGTGTTTTGCATCACCATTTCGAGTTGTTCATATCTGTGTATATATGCCAACGATACCTCCTAGATATTCATAGTATGTTTCTGATAAAACATTTCATTAGTAATTTTTTTAATACAAAAAATGGGAACCAGGGTAAAGAAGATATTCTGCGTTGCATTATAATGAGTCTATTTTAACCTGTTTTAATTTTTTTAATTCCGTCATTTAACATGAGGAAGGGAGAGAGAGAGAGATGATTGGAGAGACAGAGAGACAGACATATATGCCAAGTCAGAAATAGGGAGGGAGGGAGGGAAAGAAAGGAGAGAGAGAGAGAGAGAGAGAGAGAGGGAGAGTGAGAAAGAAAGAAAGAGATTGCACATCAGGCATTGAAAGAAAATCCAGAAGCAATTCAACATGTATAGGCTTTATTATAATCAACACGCTGAATAATTGCAACAACAGTAATAGAATACATGACATTTGTAGCAATAGTCATCTATATACAGAGTTTGGCCGACCCGGTTCGAGTTGAGGACAATATGGCGAACATTGCATGTTGGGTATAAAGCACACAACAAAAGAATATACACACGTTGTGACCACTTGTATTTAAGTTGGCCAGACTCTGTGTATAGATGGCGCTGACTTAGGGAGTAATACAACCCCCTCAAAATGTGTTTTTATCATATTTATATTCTGTTTATAAAACATTGATTTCTGAGATGGATAAAGACGATGAATGCGGGAGGTTAAAAGAAGTAGACGAGGAAAATTAGAGAAGATAAACAAGAGAGAAGAGACAGAGAGGAAGAAAGAAAGTGAGTAAGAGAGAGAGAGAGAGAGAGAGAGAAAAGAAGAAAAAAAAGGGGGGGGGGTCTTCCTTAATAAAAAAAAATCACCTGCTCCAATATCTCTCAATATTTTACGATTACAAAGACTGCTTTCGTCATCGGCATTAAAAGTCTAGACGATCGGAACTTTCTTTTGTTCTATATTGATAAACATCGATACCAGTGACCACGATGGTTAGTGATTATTTGTATAAATTCTCCCGGTTTTTTATTTCTTATATAACTGATTGAAAGTTTGCGATGACATTCTGGAAGACATACATCATTATTGCTGTATTTTTATGCTGTATTATCATCATAATGTTGATTCTGAAATAATATAATCACATATTCAATATCCATAATGTTAACCATCTCTTTATAGCTAATTGTTGAGGTGTCGTGGTAAGGTGGTCCATTCACTCTAAATCCAAGGGTTGAAGGTTCGAATCCCAGCCCGGCACTAACGTTCTTTGGCAAGACATTAATACACATTTGCCACTCTCCATCCAGGTGTAAATAGGAACCTGGCTATTGTTGGGGTAATCATGATTACAGGGCCCTCAGGAAACAACAACAATTATGCTGATGAGGCTTCCCTGGGTAAACCCATTATTATTATTAATTGTATTATTATTATCATGATCATTATTCAAGTTTCAGTTTTCAGTTTATTGTTTCATATTTGATTAACAAAAAGGAATTCTACTAACAGAGACTAATTTAAAAAGCAGAGAGTGACTACCAAATTTAATAGTAAATTTTAAAAAAGAGACTGAACTAGAGAAAAGGAGTGGATTTAAGAGGGCCTAAGGTGAAAGCAACGCTTGTGAGTCATAGGCATCGAAGGGTATTGAATTAATTATAGTCTTTACTTTTACCTTTTATAATTTATTACATGCAAAAACAAAAGCCACATCACAACCACATGACATAATGGGCAATTGTTTTTTTTAAGGGGGGATGCGGATATTTCAAGTTCAAGTTTATTTGTTTCACATTTCACAAAAAAGAATTCACATAATTGACAAAATTAGAACATAATATGAAATATACTAAAAGTGTCACATAATTAATTCTTTAAAAAGACGTCGAAATTTATTGTTTTGAATAGTAGGTTATACAGGGTGAAATGTGAGGAACCTATTAAAAGGATGTGAGCCTACAAACTACGTTTGAGCTATGGCGAACTATTTTTTGTTAAGTTTATTATTCATGAGGCTAGAGTACTTTGCGTCCACCCATTATAACAAATTAGTTGATTGCTAATACATAAATGTTTTTCACACTATGAGCAATGAGATAATACGTTAATATCCCACCCATTATCCAGGGGAACTTTTTGGAAAAAGGGGCACATTTTATTGTAGGCACTAAACTCAGACAACACCAAAGTCCACGTCAAAGATGACGGGCAAATAAGAATGGAAACGGTCTTCCGGCCCAGCAACAGATGCACTATGGACCTCACTCTCTTCCCCTTCGACTCTCAGATCTGTCAAATGATCATCGCATCTAAAGACATCATTACCAACGTCGTGCTCATTCCAGGGGTCTTCATTCGCCGGGCCGAGGATCGACCACTGTCTTGGGACCTCACCAGTTTGGTCGCCGAGTCACGCTCGAGAGAGAATCGAGCCGGCGATCACGCGGTCTCCGATCTGTTGGTGATAATACACCTGGAGCGACTTCCTAATCACTATGTTTACACCATCATTCTCCCCGTCACGCTTATCAACGCCATTGGCATCTGGACCTTCTTCATCCCTCTCAAGAGTGGTGAGCGCGTAACAACTTGCATCTCGGTGGTTCTTGGTGTCACCGTCTTTCAGGTAGGGGTGACTTCCGGAACCGGGTCGATTTTTAAATCTATTTCGCAGCCTTATTATTTTTTTCCACTGATCTGAGCCGAAGATGGCGTAATCATTGAATCATTACTGCATGAGAAATTAATCGCTTGTATAGTAAATCGACCAAATTCTGTATCATACTGATGTCTTTCCGTGTTCAGTGAAAGACCCCCCCCCCCTCTCCTCCCGACATTCCTCAACAAATTTTGGCTTAAAAACTGCATTTGTCCCATTTTCATCTATGATAATTGCAAAATGTTTACTTCACTTTAATATCCATCCATCTCTATTTCTTGAACCAAATACTGCATCTTCGCTGGAAGAAAAGCATGACATAAATTAATTTCATAGAGTCGTATGTATCATTTCAGTTGCATAATACTGTATTTTTGTTTGTGTATATAAAACTACAAAAGAAACAAGTTTACAAACAGATTAAACAAAAAAAGGGGGGGGGAAAGAAAATCTTGCCAAAGAATGGACCGAGCCTTGACTAGCACTTGTACTAATTTCTAGTTCACGTTTAACTTCGCCTTAATATTATCAATACACATACTTTTACATTTAGTTTTGTGTATATCTTGTACATTTAACGGTACGCAGATCTAAGTCAAAATATCGTTTTAAAGCCATTACTGTTCAATCAACGCTACTCTTCCTTTAAGTTCTCACCACATCAGTATTATACAGTAGGCTTTCGGATGGACCATGTGAGAGAGAGAGAGAGAGAGAGGGGAGGGAGGATTGAGGAGTCCTGAAAAGGACTCTCGGTAATCTTTCTTGAGGGTGTGTAGTCCTGAATTTGTGTGTGTGTATTGGGTTTTTACAGACGTGTATCAATCAAATATGATTATTTACGTCTGGGGACTGACCTTTAAACGTCACCATCCGAAAGACGTGACTCAGTTTCGAACCTGCGTCCTCGGCTGAATAAGTTTGTAACTTCCACTTTCAGCAGGATTACAAGCGCACGCCATAACGCCTGTTCGAAACGTCGAGCCACTACCGCCACCCATTCTCTCCAAGCGCTATAGTTCTCCTTAAAACTATAAGCTTAAGCAAGATAACCAACAGTCTTTTTCAAGACTACACCAACAATCTTTTTCAAGACTACACTAACAGTCCTTTTTAGGACTACACACCCTCAAGAAAGATTACCGAGAGTGCTTTTCTGGACTCCTCAATCCTCCCTCTCTCTTACATGGTGCATCCGCAAGCCTACTGTATATCTACATCACCATACGAGCCGATACTTACAAGCAGCATCACATCAGTATACTAACACTTCTACCAGGTATCAATTTCGTACACCTTGGCCGAGAGAGACAACGTTCAACATTGGCAAAACACTTTGTTCAAGGATGTATTAAGCAACGAGCTAGGATCGAAACCATGCCCTTGTATGGGAGCCAAGACAAAGCCTTCACCTATTTCTTATCACAGTGCTCCCATTACTGTTGCATAATTTTACAAACCAGGGGGTGTTTCTTAAAGCTGTTCGTAAAGTTACGCATGACTTTACGAATGACGTATATATGACGAGCCAAATGGGGTGCTCAATCATTTTTATCTGCATCAACTAAAGTTGAACTGTGCAGATGTAGATTAACATTCTTATTATAACAAACATTTGTGATGCAAAGTATATTTTTTGCTATAATTTAAATGAGGTCATACTTTGTTGAAACATCAGGAAAAACTGTGGGCATCCTATCTGACACTTCATATTCAAGTCGTTGGTAAAGTCATGCATATATAACTTTACGAACAGCTTTATGAAACACCCCCTGGTATGTTACATACTCAAGTAAACAATTAAATGACATTGATGACATTGATGATTCTACCCGACTGTACTTTTGTAAAATAGAACGCCCATGTTCATTCTGTTTCGAATCTCTAGATTGTCATCATTGACGTCATGCCACAGACAACCCGTAGTGGAGCCATTCCCCCCCACCATCAAATACCTGACTATGACCTTCATCACCCTGGCTGTCATCATGATGTGTTCCGCCATGTCCCTCAACATCACGTACCAAAAGCGTCGCATCAAGAACAGATTCTTGAGGATACTGTTCTTTCGGATCTTGGCCACCATGGTGTTCAAGAGACAGGATGGTCTGAGGAAGATGACTGAAAGAAACGTTCAGTCAGGTAAGCTATATTGAACAACTCGCAAACGGCATTACTTACTCTTCAGTGGTCGAGTGGATACGGCGCCGGACTGTCGATCACAAGGTCTGCGGTTCGAGTCCCGCCGCCGCACTAATGTCCTTTGTCAAGACATTGATCTACATTTGCCACACTCCACCCCTGTGAAGTAAATGGGTACCTGGCAGGAATTTATTCCTTGAAATGCTAGAGCGCCGTATGTCAGCCGTGCTAAAGCCAGGGTAATTATCTGGAGCGCCAGGAGGGTCAAATCTGACTGACATGAGCGCTATACAAGAACCCAATATTATTATTACTATTATTATTATTTGAATTGGCTCACGTGGTAACCTGAGAATGATCCGAGGCGTACAACTGGCTAAAGGACTTGTTCGGGAGAAATTGGTAGCTTCTAACCTTACTGAACTTCCTGGGACACCCGTGGTTCATACTGAAGTTTTCTCAACATGCTGTATGCTTGGAGCGTCTTGTATTCCCCACTACATTAATTGAACACTGGAGTGACGTTGTTTCTAATTATCATATTTTCTTTTATCCTTGTCTCTTTAGCAAAAAGTGATGGTCAAGATTTAAATAGACCCAACAACTTCTCCCTCTGTGAGGAAACACGCGACAACACACCCCAAGTCATACAAAGCAGAGAAAACGTAAGTTTTTTCTGAGTTAAAAACTGATTTTCTTTTTTCTTTTTTGGGGGGTGGGGGCCAAAGGGGGGGGGGGGAGGAGAGGATATAATGAAAATCTGTTTTTCTTGGGCGGCCAAGAGCGAATCGTTCATCATTTCTCTCCAGCGATCTTCCTCAGGGGTCTTTCGAAAACTATACAGGACTAACTAGGTTTATGTTATCTGGCCGGCAGCACAGATATTATAGTGTCTGCTTTTACTACACTTTTTTTTTTAAATATCGGTAAATCCGGGTTTTGAAAATTTTCTGACAAGCAACAAGCAAGTGTGAGAGAGAAAGAGAAAGAAAAAGGTAATCATCAGTTATGATATTTTCTAGATCCTTTGGGGTTGTTAAACATTGTTGTTATTTTTTCCGGGAACTATGACTCTTGCACGATTAATACTTTCATAAGTTATTCAATTAATCCCACTAATTAAAGTAGAAACATCGTGGTTATTGGTGGAGGCTCTTAGATCCCATAAGACAGGAGTATGGTTCGATCCTCGCTCGGACGGTGCTAACATCCTTTAGACAAGATGTTTTACCCACGTTTGCCCCTCTTGATCCAGGGGGGGGGGGGGTGTTTCACAAAGATCCTAAGTTGAACTTAACTCTAAGTTAGACTTAAACATTATGGAGAGTCATTTGTAGCCTTAAAATAAAGTATATTAAAAAGTGAAAATTCAATTATTTTAGACTTTTTATAAATGCCGCATCAAGAACATGAACTCCCCTTGATAATAGAAAATGTTAATGATTTGAAACAACAATGCCTTTTAAAATAATTTTTACAAAATATCTTCAAAGATGCTAACGGCTTTCCATAATTATTAAGTCCAACTTAGAGAAAAGTTCAACTTAGGACCTTTGTGAAACACCCCCAGGTGTATTAAATTGGTACTTGGCAATGCTCCGGTAATAATAACTGCAGGGCCGTCAGGAAGAGCGGAACTATACTGGGTTAATAAGACCAACAAGATCGCAACTACTTTCGAAAAATCACCCTCATGCATATTCAGTAGCCTTGTACGTCACCTACTGAGATGTTCAAACATGACATTGAAGTGTTACGCAATTCAAACATGATTTTTTTTTTAAGGGACAAACAATTTGGTATTGAAATTTTGTTGATTTTGCGGAAATAATCACGACTGTGCTTTTTATTCTTATAAAAATGTACATACATACAGAAAAAATCATGGATACATTATTTTCTTCTCCTTTTCCCTTATCTCTCCAAGCACCAGCCAATGTGGAGAGCCTATAGACAGAATTTTTAAATTCTTTTAGGTGTTCATCAGGCATTGGCTGGTGCTAAATATCATTATGTTAATTTTATATCATTTTGTCAACCTTGTGATGTTTTGTATGATATCATCTTGCCTGGAAATAAAATAAATTATTAATAAATAAATAAACAATCATTTCCCTCATCAGGTCTCGGAAGAGAACGACATGGAACTTGTTGCCATCATCGTCGACCGAATGTTCCTTTGCACGTTCCTCGTGATCGAGATCTGTATGATATTCATGTTCAGAGCCACCTTCTCCGATGATGCTTAGACTCGACGTTGATACATTAGATTTATTTATTTATAATGATAAGATCAATGTATATGTCGCCACTACTGTTTAAATATACTATACTGAACAGTGATGAACAGAACTCCTAACAGTTCTACTTTACAGACACACAATCGAAATACATTCAAAAGCTTCTGAAAACAAACCCGTCTTCAACAAGAGTTTGAAGGCACCTTTAGAAAAACAAAAGGGATATTTGTTTTGCCAAGGGAGACTATATTGTATCATTTCCCTATTTCCATGTCCCCCGTTGTTTTATTCAAAAACTTTCTTAGTCTTATTCTATCATGTGCATTTTGTTGAGCAGAAATTGAATTGAATTTGAAATAAGCTAGTTTAACTGGTAATGCCTACTAAAAGCTAAGTGAAGTATAAACTTTTGAAGTGAAAAAAAAATGTTCATATCTCTAGTGCATTGCTAATTCAACAAAATGTGACCACATGAAGATGTTTTCTGAGCAACGTAATTGTATTTATTATTCGATAGTACTGCTCGAGGAATCAATTATTGTTATAAACCTATATTCTAGGTAACTTTTCTGTGTCAATGTTTCATTCGTTGTCATAACATTTTATTATCACTGCATATATTTCTTTTATTATAATCGTCATCTTGATCATCATTATCTTTATCAACAACAACAACATCATTGTCATTATCCTTATATCTTAAATAAAATCATTATCCTTAATATATCTGAAATATGCTTGACCATTCTGCTTGAATAGATGTGTTCATCTTTTTCATAAGATCTGTTTTGGCTGTTATATTCTCAAAAGATTTGCTTGAATTGGCAGCCCCTCTTCCGCAAATAAATGTATAAAGCTTGATGAATTATGATAATTTGACAATTTATCCTTTCTTTTGCATTTTTTTCCTTGAAAAGTATTCAGTATATAGGGCCAGTGCCCCTGCTGTCCTGGATTTCTCAACGGATCTTCATTCACGATATCATATAGGGGTGATTGTGTACACAAAATTTGTCTTGTTTACGACAGGAGTGATTTTGTGGAATTTGAAATGATGTAACATTGGTTGACTTGACAAGTACCTCTACTAAAACACACATCTAAATGAATTTAGAATAAATATAATACTCAAAATTATTTGATGCTCATGAATCATCTTATTAGGGTATTGGATCGGTGATCGAAGCCTCTTACCGAAATGTGTCATTATATTTTGGTACAGGAATATAAAGATATACATGTGCTCCCATTCATGCATTACCTCAGAAAATAGTTTTAGTAGCCCTCTCAGCTGTCGTGATAAGCTGATCCTTTGGGCCCTTTTGGAGCATCGGATCCATATGGTATGTTTCATTGTACTGTTCATAATAGGTTTTCTACACCAAACGAACATTTTTAGCAGAAACGTTTGTTTTGAATTGCATTAAACACATTTGTGGACCCCTAAAACATAAGGTTTGGGAACTTGGGGTACATTTGATGAGACTTCAAGTTTGACTCTGGAATCAATCCATGTTTCTTAACAAGTGAACACCATTTCCCTTATGGAACAGTCCATGCACCATGTATGCACCATGTATGTATGTAATATGTATGCATGCATAGTAAAGGGTGTGCGCGTGTATGTATGCATGTGTGCACTATGTAAACAACACAGGCAATACTTGCAGCTACAGAAGGAACAAAAAAAGAATCAAATAATTCAAATTGTCTGGCTTATAAATGCTCTGGACTTTGACCCAGGACAGCTTTGTGGGACGAGTTGAATAGTAGGTTCAGACAAATAAATCTCTACATCGTTAAGCATGATGACGTATTACAAAACAACTTCCGTTTCACCCAAATGATCGGCCATTTTCTCAACTGTTCCATCGGTTATTTTGATTAGGAAGACTGTAAACAGATCAAAATGACTTATTGAATTCTTACCTATGTGAAATAAACTATCGTTTCAGATAAATGGTCAACTCTTTGGATTAGAAGCAGAGGGCCATTTTGAGAAGAAATGTTGATGTATTATCGTGGAACTATTTTATACACTGATTTGTGAACTGGTGTGACAATCTACAATTTCATTTTGAAGCAAGAGATCATTTTTGTGGATAACATGGATGGACCGTAGCACGCTGGTTTTTGTGAAGGAGATCAGACCAATCAAATGGAGATATTACGCTTGTACTGAAAGGACCAGGACTGTCCGAGACGGATTTTATAATCATAACATTGGAAGTATGGTCGCAAGTATTTTCTTATCAAATTAGAATAACTCCCTTGCCGTAGAATCCAATGCATTAATATTAGTAGGCTTAGAAGGGTCTCAACCTGCACGGAAACAGAGAGAAGATATATACCTCTCCGGTTGTAGAGCGTGTAACTGCATTGTCGTATTTAAAGCTTATCAGTACTAGTTTACAGGAGGGATTACACCGCCCTGCAAGGTCACTGGACAGGTGGTTATCTCATCAACTCAGCTCTCAGTTAACATAAGAAAAAGAGGATCATGGGGACCAATGGTCACCGATTAGGCATTGTTTAATATAGAGAGGGCGCAAGTAGCTACAAGTAGTGCAGTGGGCCTTTAATATCTTCCAAACACGATTTACCTAACGCAAAGGTGACTTTGACAAACACGAAACGACCGAAGAAACATCCAAAAGATTTTCTTAATAAGTGGGACAACAGACATAGCAAAAAATGGCTGAAAGAGCAGCAAATAGGCCTAATAGCGTCAATTTACCCCTTAACATGGCAGCTTTAAATGGTCATCTTGAAGTAGTTCAGTTTCTCGTTGATCAAGGAGCACTGGTTGAGAAGGGGGATACTGATGGTCGAACACCTCTTCACCATGCATCATACAATGGTCATCTTGATGTAGTTCAGTATCTCGTCGGGCAAGGGGCACATATTGAGAGGGAGAATAAGAATGGTCAAACACCTCTTTGCTTGGCATCACGCACTGGTCATCTTGAAGTAGTTCAGTATCTCGTTGGGCAAGGGGCACAGATTGATTCGCTTGATAAGGTTAGTTGGACTCCTTTTCACTATGCGTCAAGCAATGGTCATCTCGATGTAGTTCAGTATCTCGTTGGACAAGGAGCACAGATTGAGAGGGAGAATAAGAATGGTCTAACACCACTTCACTGTGCATCAATCAAAGGACATCTTAAAGTAGTTCAGTATCTCGTTAGTCAAGGAGCAAACGTTGAGAGGAATGGTAATCTTAGTTTGACTCCTCTTTTCGATGCGTCACGGAATGGTCATCTTGATGTAGTTCAGTATCTCGTTGGTCAAGGTGCACAGATTGAGAGGGGGAATAAAAATGGTCAAACACCTCTTCACAATGCATCAAACCATGGTCATCTTGATGTAGTTCAGTATCTCGTTGGGCAAGGGGCACAGATTGAGAGGGAGAATAAGAATAGTCAAACATCTCTTCACTGTGCATCAAACCATGGTTATCTTGATGTCGTTCAGTATCTCGTTGGCCAAGGGGCACTAATTGATAAGCTTGATAAAATAACGACGACACCTCTTCAACATGCATCATCCTATGGTCATCTCAATGTAGTTCAGTATCTCGTTGGGCAAGGAGCACAGATTGATACGCTTGATAAGGTTAGTTGGACTCCTCTTCACCAAGCGTCAAGCAATGGTCATCTCGATGTAGTTCAGTATCTCGTTGGGCAAGGAGCACAGATTGATACGCTTGATAAGGTTAGTTGGACTCCTCTTCACCAAGCGTCAATCAATGGTCATCTCGATGTAGTTCAGTATCTCGTTGGGCAAGGGGCACAGATTGATACGCTTGATAAGGTTAGTTGGACTCCTCTTCACTTTGCGTCAAGCAATGGTCATCTCGATGTAGTTCAGTATCTCGTTGGTCAAAGAGCACAGATTGAGGGGGAGAATAAGAATGGTCAAACACCACTTCACCTTGCATCAAGCAATGGTCATCTCAATGTAGTTCAGTATCTCGTTGGACAAGAAGCACAGATTGATAAGTTTGATAATCTTAGTTTGACTCCTCTTTTGCAAGCATCACGCAATGGTCATCTTGATGTAGTTCAGTATCTCGTTGGTCAAGGAGTAAAGGTTGAGAAGAATGATAATGATGGTCGAACATCTCTCCACTATGCATCATCCTATGGTCATCTCAATGTAGTTCAGTATCTCGTTGGGCAAGGAGCACAGATTGATACGCTTGATAAGGTTAGTTGGACTCCTCTTCACTATGCGTCAAGCAATGGTCATCTCAATGTAGTTCAGTATCTCGTTGGGCAAGGAGCACAGATTGATACGCTTGATAATCTTAGTTTGACTCCTCTTTTGCAAGCATCACGCAATGGTCATCTTGATGTAGTTCAGTATCTCGTTTGTCAAGGAGTAAAGGTTGAGAAGAATGATAATGATGGTCGAACATCTCTCCACTATGCATCATCCTATGGTCATCTCAATGTAGTTCAGTATCTCGTTGGGCAAGGAGCACAGATTGATACGCTTGATAAGGTTAGTTGGACTCCTCTTCACTATGCGTCAAGCAATGGTCATCTCGATGTAGTTCAGTTTCTCGTTGGGCAAGGAGCACAGACTGAGAGGGGGAATAAGAATGGTAGTACACCACTTCACTGTGCATCAATCAAAGGTCATCGTGAAGTAGTTCAGTATCTCGTTGGGCAAGGAGCACAGATTGAGAGGGAGAATAAGAATGGTAGTACACCACTTCACTGTGCATCAATCACAGGTCATCGTGAAGTAGTTCAGTATCTTGTCGGACAAGGAGCACAGATTGTGAAGAATGATAATGATGGTCGAACATCTCTCCACTGTGCATCATACTTTGGTCATCTTAAAGTAGTTCAGTATCTCGTTGGGCAAGGAGCACAGATTGAGAGGGAGAATAAGAATGGTAGAACACCACTTCACTGTGCATCAATCAGTGGTCATCGTGAAGTAGTTCAGTATCTTGTCGGACAAGGAGCACAGATTGATAAGGTAGATAATCTTAGTTTGACTCCTCTTCACTATGCGTCAAGGAATGGTCATCTTGATGTAGTTCAGTATCTCGTTGGTCAAGGAGCACAGATTGGGAGGGAGAATAAGAATGGTCAAACACCTCTTCACTTGGCATCATACAATGGTCTTCTTGAAGAAGTTCAGTATCTCATTGATCAAGGAGCACAACCTGAAGGTAAGATTTGCATTTTGACGGTGATCGTGGAGCTATTTCTTGTCAGAAACCGGTGTGTATTTATGGGGTTTGAGCTATCCCCACAATACTTAAGTTGTTTTACATTCTTTCCCTTTTTTTCAAAGGTATTTGTTCCAATATCCCGATAGAAAAATAATACGATTAAAAAAAAAAATCTTTTTAAGGATTAATTTTTACCCAGCTTTACCCAGATTGAAGAACAATATTGAACAACTTTTTCTGATCCTATAACCTTACGAATTCAAGTCAAATACAATTTTTGGATTGCCTCTTGGTCCTGCCAGTGTATCTTCTCTGACTCTTTTTTAAATAGTCCTACAAGAACTAGAGAAAACAACAAATGAAAATATAATTTTAAAAAAATACATAAGATATACTGTGCAACGTGAAAATTAGTCTGATAGATAGTCTGACAGTTTTGAAATATGGCTACCAAAATTACAGCTGTGGTATCGGATATATATTCTTGTGATATTATGTGTGGTAAGAACGTGTACCACAAGCCATACCACAAGACCTCATGGATATAGGCTCTACCACAGCCAGCGATCACATTACCACACGAGTCTATGGTACAGTACCACACGTGTACCCGTTTTATCGTATATTCCTGTGGTATTTTGTGTGGTAACAGCATGTACCACAATCATTACCACAGGACATTCTTGTAAGGGAGGGATGGTGCATATAAGTTCTCATAATTTGAACAAGGAAAATGTAATAAGATAATCATAAATACTCTTCAATTTGCCATTTCAACTGACCCTAGGGGTAAACTGGAAAATCTAAAAGAGCTAGAATTTTTTATTGATGCTAGTAGGCTTTTTAACAAATGTTTCAGCCAGACCAGTGATTTTGATAATAATGGTAATAATAATAATCTATATTATAATTTGAGTAAGAAAATCCATTGAAATTAAAAAAAAACTTTTAGGGTGCTGCATGCCTCCGGCTAAAAAAATGCCACGTGTCATTCGTTATGACTGCAGATTGTTCTAAAGGCTGGGATTTTTAAAATAAGTTGTTTGAAATCTCGAAATGAAATATAAAAACTCAAAATAGTTCATGAAAGAGGATGGCAACGGATAAAGGTACTTGCGCTGTACAGCGAATGTACACTCTTCAAATTGACCGCGATCGGCTGTCTGGCTTTGCATACATGTTCCAACCGGTTTCGTCTGATTCGTTAATACACTGTCGCTCATATAGTTGAAATATTTTTGTTTTACCCCAATTTATGGAATTATTTTTAAAATAATTTAAAAATAATAGATCTAGATAATAGTATACATTCTCAGATTTTATTGAATAATAATTTGACAATGTGTGTTTTGCGTGACTACTAAAGCATGTGTATGCACTAATATAGCACATCGACACGGTTTTGATCCTGGGGCCTCACAGTTACGAGGCCATTGCTTTGTCACTGAACCATGACTGTACGCAGCGGGGGCTAGGGTAGAGGGCAGTTTCCATAAATTAAAAATGACCAACGGTTTTTGATTTCCCATATTGCAAAGATCAGAATGGTATAATAATTGTATAATTTGTAAATGATTATAATTGAATGCAGGATTCAGTGAAATGCGTTTTGAATGTGACATTGAAATTAAATAAATATTATTACATGTTTCACTCCTTCATTTATCATTCGCTATTGGATTAGGAGCATCCTCATTGAAAGAGTCAACGTCCATGGGTGGAAACGAAAAGAGTGGAATGGGGATAAATGCACCAAAGAAACCAGCTACAAAGAGGAAAGCAACAGAAGAAAAGGACGCCCCATATGAAAATACACGCAGTAAGTACAGTATTGAAACTAATTGCTTCCTTCACTTCAGTGAAATGCGTTTTGAAAGTGACATTGAAATTGAATATCTATTCTTACATGTTTCACTCCTTCATTTATCATTCGCTATTGGATTAGGAGCATCCTCATTGAAAGAGTCGACGTCCACGGGTGGAAACGAAAAGAGTGGAATGGGGATAAATGCACCAAAGAAACCAGCTACAAAGAGGAAAGCAACGGAAGAAAAGGACGCCCCACATCATACAACTCGCAGTAAGTACAGTGCTGAAACTTTGTTTCCTTCCAACATTTTCTGTATCTTGGATATTTAACCTAGTCCAAAATCTAACCTATCTAATGTTACAATCTCCACTAACGGAACGCGATCTCCTCCTACCTGCTACAAGCCGAGGAAGGCGTGATCCCCGAATGTCTAAGATGGGCTGGGCATACTATGGACGCGTTTGGTTCCGTGGATCACGCCATCTTTTGCTTGCACTAGGTAGGGATTGGAGAAATATCGATCAGGAAATAAAATAAGAAGGGCCAAATTCGGAGCTACATTGTGTCATGAACATAGATTGGGATTGGCTCGAGGCGCATGGGGTGGGAATAAATCTCATATCTTAATTTGTATACATGTTAAAAAAAGGAAGCTCTTGTGTTTAATAGAATATATGATATGTACATTTTACGTTGGGCAATGTTTTGCTTGCTTGAGGGCAAATTTGGTCTGATAATATCCCATCCCCATTCATGTTGTAGCAATACCACTGTCAATATGATTTTGATTTTGTACCTTGAATGAAATCTTACCAAAGACCTAAACAATAACCAATCAGCTTCTGCTATTTGTGGTCTCATTTATTCCTTGATTACAACACAACAAACGCATTATTTTGTGAAACATAACTAGAAACATAACAACAAGAAACAGTTGAACATTTTGGACCGTACTTATATTTTGTTTCCATTTCAGCTACAATTATATCTTCCATTCTATCATAATTTATATTATTTGATTTATCTGGTTTTTCCGTCATCTATTTGAAAATACAATTACATGAAATTCCTGACCCCTATGGAAATTTTGCTGCTAGGGTGTTCCGTTTCTTTATACATGGGATGAAAAATAAATGAATGAACGATATAATTAAGTATTTCTTCATTCGTTGATAAATATGGCCAGAGGTTGATATTTTGACATGTCTCCATGTCTCATGGCTTTTTGTGGTCTCATTTTTAATATAGAGATTGAAAATACATCTAATCAAGGAGATGTCAACATTAATTTGAATGCATCAGGATCCGCGAACTGTAGCGACATCAAAATGACTGGTCAGGAAGTAAACATAAACATCAATGTAAACAAATAGAGGTGAGAATACAAAATGATTTGTTACTGAAAACACAATCGTGACTATTTTTCAAAAATTTACTCAATCGTAATTTCAATACCATATTATGTGTCCCATGGAAGTGCCCGGATTACGTATTATACGTCAGTATCATGTTCGCACATTTCAATAGGTGATGAACAAGGTAATTGAAATTAAATAAGGTTGAATTTTTAGAAACTACTCTTTGAAAAGGATTTATTTTCCAAGGACTAAACTGAATTAAACCATAAAGCCAGCCTTAAGAATAAGTCTAGCACGTACGATTTAAGAAATATGAAATACGTGAATTGTATATGTCTAAGATGAATGTACTGTATGTGATAACAAAACTCGTTTCTTTACTGATAGGTTATTATGCTATCTTTATATTGCCACCTTTTATCTAAATCCATGTTTTTAATACACTTTCCATGTCTCTTCTTTGTATTTTAAAAAGGGTATCTTGTATCGGAACAGCACCGGAATGGTAGCCAGGGAAGTTTTTCGGGAGAAAGATATCGGTTTGCGACATCATGGAGTAGAGTTAAAATATTCAGATGTACAGTATAATGTAAATATGTTTTCAGCTCGTATTACAGATACTTGCTTTAAGATCTAGTTGCGTTTTTGGTATGCAATGTGGCCTTCCTCAGATTTAAGTGTACTTTTCCTCATTTTGTGCTCCACAAATCTCTCATATTACGTGTGTAAGAAATATTGTGTTATTTTTGTTTTGAATAGATTAGTGAAAGATAAAATAAACTGTAGCGAACCAATGTGATTGGCCTATTCACGACTTTCCTTGCATGGACTGCTGGTATGAACAGCTGTTAACAATTGTTTGTTGATACCTGAAAGTGGCTATTGTTCTAAAAAATACTCAATATATCGAACAAAAAATGTCGGATTGAGCTTTTGTATATACAGCGTGCATGTATATTTTTTAATGAAATTTGTGTATATTTGCGACTAATTATTAGCTCTTTATAAAAATATTTTTCTATCTTTTTTTTCTCCAATTTTCCCTTTAATAATACCTTAATTCTGAAGTTATCCCTGTATTAAAACCAAACAATTTGTTCTGATCTTCAGTGTTGATTAGTACGTGATAGACTGATAGCAATGCAAACAAAATAGCAAAAACCTTATTCCTGAATAACCATAAATGTATATAGAAAACATGTTTTTGCTGATTAAAAGAAAAATAAAGTATTATTTTACTGACATGTTCAACATCGTGAAATGAAGTAGCAGCTGGTATGCGTGTACTTTTCACTTATGGAACTACAACTCCCTAATTATCAAGATTTTAGGACCACTCAAAGAATTTTTTGTGTGATTTAAAAGAAAAACAAAATATGTTGCAGTAATTTTAAGATAGCTTTGTGTAGTTTCAAGAGCGACATTCTAAATCATGAAGAGGGTCATCTATTAGGTGTGTCTTGAATTCTTAGTGTGATGTTTGTTATGATTGCGACTTCATGGAGTACAGTTAAATCACTCTGCAGATTCGCAGTGCAATGAAAATAAGCTTCTGTATATATACATACATGTATATTTCATAATTAATATTTAGAATATATAGTTTTTTTAAAGTAATTTTGCATGTTATTTGTATATATTTTTTTTTTATGGATACTTGACAAATTTTACTAAATATTCCAACCTCTTAAAGTAAAGTAGCGGCTGGTATGTGTATATCTTTCACTTTATGAAACTTCAACTCCCTAACGTTTAAGATTTTAGGACAATTTAACGATATATCATTGTGTGATTTAATTTTTCTTTCGAAGTGCATTCCAACATATCTGAAATATCTCTATACTTCCATTGTTCGACCTCATTTTGAAAGAGACTAAATAATTTCAAAGGCAAACATAAATAAATTTAAACAAAATATTCTCCAGTCATTTTGAAAAAGATTATTGTAGTAAATAGATTGACATCCTAAACATTGAAAAAACGGGCGTCTATTTGGATAAGCTTTGAATTCATATGTATTGTTGTGATGTTTACTTGAAAAGGTATACCAATGTATTTGAAGGAAGGCGTCAATGGTTAGAGCGCCCGCCTCATGAACGGGAGGTCGTGGGTTCGATCCCCGGCCGAGTCATACCAAAGACTTATAACAATGGGACCTTCTGCCTTCAAGCTAGGCGC